AATAGCTTTATTCTGAACAGTATTCATATAATATATAGAACTCTCTATGAAAGTTATTGCACTATAGTTTCTCTTTGTCCAGGATCTTCAAGTCAAGGTAGTAACTAACAGTAAATCAATTTATAATTAAGTCACCTCTCTATCTCAACTTCATCGACTTTGAAAAGACCTTTGACAGCGTCGATCGAGAGGTGATTTGGAAAATACTTCGCTACCATGCTGTGCCACCGACAATTATACATCTCATTCAACAGCTGTACGACAATGCTGCATGCCAAGTAATCCACAACGGGAAACTTACGGAACCCTTCGAAGTGAGGACAGGAGTAAGACAAGGCTGCCTACTATCACCAATGATTTTCTTGATTGCAGTAGACTGGATAATGCGACAAACAGTGGGCAATGAGGAAATAGGCATAAAATGGACACACGCAAAAAACTTGGAGGATCTGGACTTCACCGATGATATATGTCTGATTTCCCACAAACTGGAAGACATGCAGGCGAAAAGCAACAAGTTAGCAGAAGAAGCATCAAAGATAGGACTTCAGGTGAACATAGAGAAGACAGAGGTGATGAAAATTCCTGGGAAACACCACCAACAACAACAACAAACAACAATCAGCATAAATGAAAGGAACCTGAAAGAAACAACCTCTTTTACCTACCTAACTGGGAAGTATCGTTTCAACTACAGGAGAACGGAACTGACGAGGATATCAAAGCAAGAATCGGAAAAGAAAGACAAGCTTTCATTACTCTTAAGTCTGTGTGGAGGTCAACAACACTCAGCATCAAAAATAAGATCCGGATTTTCAACTCCAATGTAAAGTCAGTGCTACTCACTATACGGATCAGAAACTTGGCCAGCGCGTCATAAGGAGCATCTCAAACAAACTACAGACCTTCATTAACAGTTGTCTTCGCTCAATACTCAAGATCAGATGGCCAGAAAAGATCAGCAACAGGTATCTCTGGCAATGAGCGAACCAACCAGGAACCGATTGTGAATCAAATAGGCAGGAAGAAATGGAGATGGATTGGCCATACTCTGAGGAAACAATCCATCAAGTGACATCACTAGACAAGCCATTGATCGAGTGGAACCCGAAAGGGAAGCGGAGAGTTGGTCGTTAGTGCAAGGGTGACTTGGAGGAGGTGATGTGAAGAGGAGATGAAAACGTGTGGACAGACTTGGAGCCAGGTGAAGATTCTAGCAGAGAACCGAACGCAATGGAGACGCACGGCTGAAGCCCTATGTTCCTGTAGGAATTAAAGGATACAATAATAATAAATAATTATAACAGTAAATCGCATGACACGATGCTGTTCAATCTGAGGCGAATACCAATCCATTATAACACTTCCTCCTCGCTTCCTTCTAGAAAGGCGTGATATATGGTAGCAAGTCAGTTGTACAACATTCAGGCGTACATTTTGACATAGCTCAGAAAAAGTTGTCTCTCGTACTGGGATACGCTGTCACTAAGATTATGCTACTGCCCCAAGTTTAGGAGAAACTAGTGGATCAGCAGGTTGTAAACGCTTTAAATAGCCACAGGAGCGAAAAATACAACTAAAGGTCATATTTTAATAGATGAAAACGAACTTAAGAAGAAAAATTATATACAAATTAATGTTGGAGTAGTCTAGTAGCCCATGTTTTAAACAGGCCGCCAATTATGCATTTATATATATGTATTAGTGATGACACTAGAGACAGCTTTAGACTAGTGGAATGATACTGATTTTATTGATTAATAGCTGAAGAAGTCTAATCTACCTGGACTTGGAAGTAATAGCTTGTCTTCATCATTACCCAAGCTTTCATTTTGATCTGCAGTCAGTTTTTGCTCTAGAGATAATTGAGTAGTTTTGAGATGGATGCATGGAGAGATACTCAGTTGTGACATGAAACTGTTTTCGTGGGATTTAAGAACTTATGAACTCACCAATGTTAGTTCTTGAATTCATGAACTGTCTAGTACATAAAGCCATACTGCTGATGCCTGATATTTAGTTCTGAATATCTTCAGTGGTTTGACCATTGTTATAATAATGTAAACTTAGGAAAACTGTATTACCATAAAACCAATTTATATATGATTCGGCTTAGTATCAGCAATGAATCTGTCGCAGAGAATAAAATTAGTCAGCAGGTGTTTCAGAAGATATCCATTACATATTGGAAAATTAAATGACGTACGGAAATACTGAGAAATAACACCAAATATGCATATATTATGCCACCGAATTTGTAAATATTGGGCTACATTGTTCAAATAACTTATTTCATGACGCAGGGAATTAATTTGAGCGAAAACTAATATTAGTAGCTTTATCTCTTTCAAAGAGTTTGAATAATTTATAGAATTTTGCATAATACATTATCCTCATCCAAAATCTTCAAACAAATAGCAATCTGTCATATACTATGTGGTATTTTTCCTTCATCTCTGATAAATGCTCAGTAATCGGTTAAAAACCAATTAAAAGTGAGCATGTGTGCATTTGGTAACCCATAGACATAACTGAATGGTTAAAACAAAGAGAAATAGGGAAAATTTTATGAATTCTATCGTGTGGAAATTCAGGTGGCTCAGTGATTCAAGGAGATCACTGCATAAGACTCAGAACTAGACATACTGGTGTTTCACCTTCAAATCAAATATAACATATATCACTTTTTCTACTCTAAAAATTGAACCGACATTCTAGTTGCAGTGAAACTGTGTCTCAGCATTTCATGCGTTTCTCTTTGGACAAGTGAAGTGCCTACTTACTAGAACTTTAGGGCCGTGTAGCTTGTTATGAAATACACTGACAAGGTTAATAAGCATCATTCTGGTTATGATTTTCGTGTCAACTCAGTAATATCCTGTATTCAGAATATGAAACGCCAGCTCACTGATGCATTTTTTTTATTCCTTCACGTTCCCAGTGGAACATAGGGCTTCAAGCTAGAGGCTTGAATTTTCTGTAGCAGTTTTTTTTTATTTTTACAGGATGGGGTTGCTAGCCACATGCTCAACCTTTCCTCTTCACCAGCTTTTAGTTCTGGCTTAGAAAGGTAAAGGAGTGCGCCGGCCGGGGATCGAACCCCGGACCATGTGGATGGTCGGCGAGCGTCCTAACCGCTATGCCACCGACGCACTCACTGATGCATACTGGATGGATTTTCTCAGGCTTCAGTAAGAAGCTGTGAGCAACAAAGTTCATTATGTTAAAGTCAAGTGGGTGCTTATCGAAGTTACTTTTCAGGGTAACGCTACTTCATGAATTGAAAAAGTTAGAATTCAGGAGTCACTGTATTCCGAAACAAGTGGCCCCGGGATCAACGAGCTTGGCGTCGTAACTTGAAGGTCTCGGGTTCAATCCCTGGTGGAGTCGTGGGTGTGGACCGATGAAAAGTCCCAAAATGGTGCTTCCTAGTTTTCAGTGATTCTTCTAACCAACGTTGGGTGGTAACGACAGTCTAACATTCGAAATTTCTGAAATGATGGACAGATACTGAATACATTCAACATACTTCATAAACAATTGTATATTATGGGTTTATTAAACTAATGTGCCATAAACATAGAATCGACTCCCTTATTCATTCATTAGCTTGTCGAACAGAATATTAACTTGAAACAAATGGTGATGATACCTAGATAAAACAGTGTACTACTGATCGATTGAATTGAGTAGTTGTATACTGCTCACATCAACCAATAGTGCTTGCTAACCAGCCAGTCAGCCAGGTCTAAGTGGTCTTAACACCGGACAGCCACTTCGCTCGTTTAGGAAGAGCTCATCAGGAGTGTACGCTGTTTGACTCAGTTGAGACTACCGAATCAGTTCGTACCGTCTGATTTCTCATTATCTAATTGGGCAAACTGGTTATACTACAAGTGACATAATTTTCAAATTAATTCACAATTGGTGATGTACACATTTCAAAGAGGTGAAATTTGAAATCATGATGACTAAAGAAAATTATCAATGCATCTTACCTCAGCACACTTTTTACTCCTTGCCTGGACACTAAATAGTGTCATGTGTCTAAATCCTTCGTTTACTGCCGACTGAATTCTGTCAGTCAAGTTTGCAATGAAGCCAGCATGCTGGGTGGCTCGCCATTACGGTGCACTCACCAGTTTGTGTCCAATCAAAGTATCTAATACAGTCATTCCTTTGCGTTCCCAGTGGAGCATAGGGCTTGAAGTTGGAGCTTTGAAGATTCGGTAGCAGTGGTGTTTAGTTTTACGGGGTCGGGGTTGCTAGCCTCATGCCCAACCTTTCCTCTTTACCGGTCTTATTACTGGTTTAGTGAGGTAGGGAAGTGTTCCTGCCGGTGATCGAACCCCGGACTACATGTATGGTTGGCGAGCATTCTACCTCTGTATCGCCGCAGATACTCCTTTCTGATCATCTAATAACACCTTTTCCTCTCTCTTCTGTCTATTTAAATTTGAATATAGAAAAAAGAGGCCAAAGACATTTTAGCTAAGTCTAAATTTATTACTTCATCTGTAACTGACTGAATTAAGAGGTCACTATTAAAATCATTTATTTTCTCTACTTGTATCTTCGAACAAATTTATCATTTTTTCAGTGTATAATTAACCTTTCAATTTTTTAAAACGCAAATTCTAATTTTTATGTATCGTCTTTTGTTTAAATATGTTAGTTAGGTAATAAGAATAATAGTCGTAGTAGTAATAATAGAACAGTTTTCTTAAGGTCACGCAATTAATGAAATTGTCTTAATTTTCTTTAGTTGTTTTTTTTATCACTAATCATGCAAAATACTGGGAGAAGTTCTATGTTTTTCTTAGACAAAAATCTTTTCAAAGAAAGTAAGCAGTCTATAAGAGAGCAACTGTGGATCAGGTTGAGGAAAGAATAAACAAATAATCAATCAATGAGATTAATTCTAAACTGTATTTTGTAATCAGCTCAAAGGTTTTATTCATAATGATTATAGGATTCTTGACCTTAAGATAAAATGAATAGCATTGTGCTAATAATACTGAACATAAGTCTTATTCTATTTTTGAGACTGTAAGATATCCACTTCTTCTTCTGAACAGAAGCTGACGACCTAATAATGAAGATTAGAGTGTAATTAATCCAGTAGGAAAGTGTATACTGGTCATTGTTTGTTCATTGACCATATAGCACAGATGAATCATGCAAGCTAATGAGAAAGGGGATTATTTCATTCTCATTAACATATACAGTTGATTTGGTACATTCTAAATAATCCTTCATATGGCAGGACACCTGATAAGGAATTATTCCGTGGTGAGTCTATTTAAGATACGCTTAGATTGGTAGATTACTCTTCATGTACTGTAGGTTAATTGGAGGTAAAGTGAAAAATTGGAGTCGCGTAAACGTCTGTGAGATTTACAGAAGCATAAGAAAAGCCAAAGAGGTTTTCATTAAGGTCGACAGTAATTACAAACTAATCCTGATATTGACTTTAATTGAAGCTAAAATGTATATGAATTAGTTGCAATATTGGTTACAGGGGAATGTTTAAATAATCCTAAATGTGATAGGAGGAACTTCTGAATTTTATAACTACTTTGGTATTATTTGTTTCTAACGTAGTTTTGACTTACCCATTGGCTGATTGATTGGACCAAAATATTCGGCCTCAGTTGACAGATCACCTCGTAGTGTGAATATTTCGATGATATCTGAGGGTCGACTAGGAGTAATTTCGTGGATGGTGACTGGTAGTAGAATCCAGGATGTTTGACCACGATTGATATCAGTTAGAGAACCACTGAAAAACAGGGAATACTGGACAGTTATTTCCCTAGCCTACTTTGGGAATCATCGGCAGTGCGCACCCACCACAAAAGTTCGAACCCAGGACTTTCCAGTTACAAGGTAAGCTCATATACCATTCAGCTACTGGGACCTGATTCAGTGGCCAGATCATGAATTCAAACTTCTACAAGTTCGTGATTTAGCGCGACCACGAACCGGTATCATCGAGTCCCAGTAGCTGAGTGGTATACGAGCTTGCCTTGTAACTGGAAGGTCTTGAGTTCGACCTCCAGTGGGTTCTTACTGGCAGTGATTCCCAAACTAGACTGAGGAAACGGCTGTCCAATACTCCCTGGTTTTCAATACTTCTCTAACTGATATCAGCCTGTTGTCAAACTTGCAAAAACGAATTTAATCCTTGCAAACCAACTCTTGAATCCAGGATGTCGTCCTATGTAGGAAATATCAGCAGCATGTGTCTGAATTCCCAGTGAGTGATAGTGACCCCCCCCCCCCCGAACAGAGTACACATTATTTCACACTCCAAGGAGTTACCCAAGCCATCTAATGGACAACGCTTTAGTATCTAAAACGATGGGTCTCAGTAGGAACGTCATCACTCATTGGGAACGCAGGTAGATTCACCCGAAGAGTTCCATATAGGATGAAATGCGCATTCTGGACTCCACTTCTGGTCACCACCCACCAGAAATGTCTGATATTATTTGATAATAAACATAAAATGTAGATGTGCATCATTGTTATGGCTTCATAAACACCGGTAAATTTATAGGTAATACTTTAAACCTGGTTGGTTGTTCACCAGTAGAATTGTAATCAACCATGCCTCATGTGATGCGGATCTGACCGCCGGCCGATGTATTACCTTTCCTCACTTAGCCGGTAATAAGCCAGGTAGAGAGGGAAGGTTGGAAGTAAGGCTAGCAGCCATATACCGTAATAAAGAAAATAATACAACTGCCACTGAAACTTCAAAGGTCAAAGGTTGAAGTCCTAAATTCCTCTTGCAGTGCAGAGGAATAAAATGATAACTTCAAAAAGCTGAC